AAGTGTCTCCAGCTTCAGAGATTTTTGCAATTTGTTCCAGTCATTGGCAGCAGAGAACTGGAAGGAATTGCGGCCAAAGGAGGTGTTGGCTTTGGGGATGACCAGTGAGATATACCCGCTGGAGCGCAGACTACGGGTGGGTGTTGCTATGGTGACCAATGAGCTAAGATAAGGCGGGGATTTGCCTAGCAGTGATTTATAGATGGCCTGGAGCCAGTGGGTTTGGCGACGAATATGTAGTGAGGACCAGCCAACAAGAGCGTACAGGTCACAGTGGTGGGTATTATATGGGGCTTTGGAGACAAAACGGATGGCACTGTGATAGACAACATCCAATTTGCTGAGTAGAGTGTTGGAGGCTATTTTGTAAATGACATCGCCGAAGTCAAGGATCGGTAGGATAGTCAGTTTTACGAGGGCATGTTTGGCAGCATGAGTGAAGGAGGCTTTGTTGCGAAATAGGAAACCGATTCTAGATTTAACTTAGGATTGGAGATTCTTAATGTGAGTCTGGAAGGAGAGTTTACAGTCTAACCAGACACCTAGATATTTGTAGTTGTCCACATACTCTAGGTCAGACCCGTCTAGAGTAGTGATTCTAGTCGGGTGGGCGGGTGCAAGCAGCGTTCGGTTGAAGAGCATGCATTTAGTTTTACTAGTGTTTAAGAGCAGTTGGAGGCTACTGAAGGAGTGTTGTATGGAATTGAAGCTCGTTTGGAGGTTTGTTAACACAGTGTCCAATGAAGGGCCAGATGTATACAAAATGGTGTCGTCTGCGTAGAGAGTGTTGGAAGAGTTGGAATGATTGTTCAAATACTGTGAGGAACTATTATCATTCAGGGCCGACATAATATGAGCGGGCCAGGCCCCCTAGGTCCTCCTTGCCCGTCCAAATAAAATATTGAAATATTGATAATATTTGACCGAGACGCGCGCCGACAGAAAGACGCATCAATCTCAGATAAAGCATTCGAGTGAGTGAAACAGCGCTCCTCTGTCTCCGTATGTGTAGACCATGTACAGTATCTGATGATGTCTGGAGAATGGCATGTCGTACTTTTTCTGGCCAGACAGCATCAGATACAGACAGAGGGGCGCTGTTTCGCTCACTAGTTTCAGCAGAGAAGAAGAAGCGAAGGGACGGATCACTCTCGCGAAAATCTGTCCTGAATAAAAGGCGCTACATTGGTCAATCTGACATCTGCATTGGCCGTGCAGCATTTACGTGATAAATTGGCCTTGTATAAGTCAGGGCATTCATACTTCTTGCGCTTCGCGGAGCAGCGCAGAGCTGTTGAGCAGAGTTGTTGGGAAGGAAGTTGTCAAGGAAGTGAGTTTGTGTTTATACAGGACCTCCCGCCCCACCTACTGTCAACCAATCATGTCAATGCGGAGCTATGTGGAGCCCTCCTTATTGTTAACAAATTTGGGAGGCGGACAGTGATGCGGTATGGAGCTAAATTTGGCCTCTACATGCCTTCGTAGGCTCCGCAAATGGGTCACACCCTCCACACGGAGCCTCCTACCACAATTGTGGATCAAGCATAAATTGGCTTTTAGCCCAATGCGTTTCTACAGGCATAATATGCAGACATAAGCTTGTCGCCTGCATTCCTGTCTTTGGGACAGCGACTCGCTTTGTTAGGGTGGAGACATGAGCATCTCGTCTCTGGTTTCAGACACTTGTGAAATAAAAAGAGGTTTGGCAGGTGCACAGTGCACTGTTCTGATGCTGGCTTCCCCTAAAGTAAATTGATGTTTTGGCCAAAATTAAATAATTACTCCTGTTTAAATACAAAACATTCAAAAATAATTTACCAGAGAGCTTAACTTAGCCACAGAGGATCATTAGCTTCTATAATGTGTGAAGATAATGTGTCCTGAGTATAATTTTAAATGTTGTGACAAGAAGAAGGGGAGGGGTGTGTGGCGAAGATATGGGTGTCTCTCTCCAGAATGCATGCACTCAGCTCTCCAGAATGTCCTCCGCTGTCTCCCACCAATTCTTGCACATTCATTGTTTCATTGTGTGAATTGTTTGCCCTTTGAATTTTTTTTAGCAATTCCCCATTACATACTGTGTGTTTAGTTGGCCTAGTAAATGTACCATTAATCCTCCTCATTTGGTTACATTAATTTCTGTTAATCTATGCATTGCAGTCATTTACCCATTCTCATTCTTGGAGTGGAACAGTTGTTTGCAGAGCTCACAACCTGCTGCACTTGTGAGAAACACGTTTTGGTTTATTTCATAACCATTATTTAGGAATTTTGTCAATGGTTTCATTGTCTTTTGATTGGAGAGCTCCATGTGAGCAATGAGCACGTCACGTGTATGGTTTTTCTGTCCTGATAACTTTGAGGGAGCGGGCATGCCTGAGCACACCAACCTGCTGTGTTGATACAATGTTGCACTTCACTAGCTATAGCTCAAGTCAAGACAAATAGAAAGGGAGGCAGACAGGTGGAGTAGAGAGATTAATGCGATTGAAATAACCTTCATTTTCATCAAGATATTTTCTGCTGTTTTTATATGTCGGCATTAGGCCTATGCATTTTATTTAGTTGACAATGAAAGTTATAGGCCTACTGCTGCATTGCCCTATAGGCTATCTCGGAGTTCCATGGGCTAATTTCTTTAGCTGCCAATGGATCATGGTGTATCAATGTGTCCATATGGCAAAGGCTGGTGCTCTTGTATTAGTTGAACTTTAACAGTTAGATTTTTGTCATTTTAATTAAAAAATGTATGATTAACCACGTGACAATAATGTTGAGAAACTAAATAAAAACAGGCCCGCCTATAGAAATCAAATGCCCCTCAAACTGATTAATTCTGGCGCCGGCCCTGATTATCATTCACAATGGATTCACAAGTGTAGCAGGTTGTGAACTCTGCAAACAACATTTCCACTCCGAGAATGAGAACGGTAAATGACTGTAGGCCTGATTAATCCATGGATTAACATAAATTGATGTAATCAAATGATGGGGATTAATGGTGAATTTACTTCTGGAGACATATGCTTGTCTAAATATTTTGAATTATACTCAAGACACATTATCTTCATTCATATTAACACAATAAAACAATGTATGCCAAGAATTGGCGGGAGACAGCTCAGGCATTCTGGAGAGAGACAGGCCAATATTTGAAACAATCCACAGCTTTTATAAGAAGCTAATGATCCTCTGTGGCTAAGTCATGCTCTCTGGTGAAGTACTGTACTTTGAATGATTTTATTTATTTATGTATAGACAGGAGTAATTAGGCCTATACATCTTGGCAAATTTATTTCAATTTACTTTAGGCTGCAGTGACTACTGTTACCGAATCTTGTCCAATGCTTAGGCTACTCATCACATCAGCAATTGTATTTTATTGTTAGCCTGCAAATACTTTATTATAAAAGGTGGCTATTTCGCCTATGTTCCACAAACACGTTTTCACATTATTTCGCATGTTAAATCATGTGGTTTTCCGTAAGTGATTCTATGTTAGAAATACATTTGATTTATCAAGAAACTAAGTCGTTCAAACTGCCTACTTTTTCATGTCTTACCCACACTTTACCTGGAATTAGGGAAAACTAGTGTTATGTAGCTGTAACATCGACCAATCACAATGTGTTTCAGGTTAGGTGTCGTCCCCATCTCAGCTCTCAAACCATCAGTGCAAAACAAGACAATGGCAAACCCTGATGAAATAAATAACACAAGTACAATACCTCTTTGAATGTATTCATCAATGTCTACAAAAGTGTTATTTCACTCAGGTTATGGAAGTACTATGGACAAAGAACTCACATAATATGAGCATGTGGAATATCCTAGAGGTCGACGAAGACATCTGAAAGGTCATGGTGTTCAGAGGTCATGGATGGAGCTCTCCAGGTACGCCCCAAACCTCTCTTACTTTCAGAAATAGGCCCTGTTGCTGTAAATAGAGAGAGAAAGAGTGAGTGAGAGTAAGGAAGTGTGTGTATGTGTGTGCACGTGCTTGGTGACATCAATAGACATCAAGAGTGTGAGGTCAATGACGAGACTAACTCAGTGTTATCCCCAAATGTGACTCTATAATTTCATGCTGTGTGTGTGTTTGCAAGCTTGGTGACATCACGTGTGAGGTAAAAGAAGAGACGACCCATGTGTTGTCCCAAATGTGACTCTAATTATACTTTCACTCTATACTAATAAGAGGCACTTTTGTGCGATAGGAGGAGAAGTCAGCCACTGGGATTTTGCAGAAAGACATACCAACAGGCCATACATAATGTCAGGCCAACATTTTTGGTAGGTAGTGTCAGATTTTGGTCAGTGTGTGTAATAGTGAGGAGTTGATGAGTCGGAGGGTATGACTTTAGTTAGAGATAGGGTTTATGAGTTGGGATAGTAGAGTAACAGTGGTTACCAGTGGCTGGCAGAGCTCCTTGCGTCAGAGAAACGCACTACTCTCAAGAGAACACACACTGTGTTTGTTGCCTGTTAAATCTAATCAGCCAAGGGAATGTGTCTGTCTCTTCCCACTGTCTTTGTGTCCTGTCATAAAGGTGGTTGTCTTTCAGCTGTTTACACTAGATGTAAGGGTTAACAGTCCGTCAAGCACACACACTCAAATTAAGGCAGACATTACTGATGAATGATACATCTGTTAAAAGCCAAACATCATAATCAATTTTCTTATCACTGATGAAGTACAGTACAGTTCAAACTCACCAACTCAACACCAATACCTTACCTAAGATTAGAATAAGTCAGGAAACAATAACATGGTAATAAATTAGTAATCATGTCAAACATATTCGATAGAAACACTCAGTCAAAAACCCAATACATACAAACCAGACAAAGACCAAGAAGTGCTTACCACTGCATAAGAAGGGACACAAACATTGATGAGTTGATGAACAGTTAGCTCCACAACATCTGGATGTCCGTAGGAGTGGTGTTCATGTCTCTCCCTGCACAGTAGCAGTGTCCTGGGGTTGTGCAGTGGACATCTACCCTCCTCCCTTGGCCACAAAGAAGCCTGAGGGGCTGGGCTCCCAAGACAGACACAGCCCTTTCCCAATCCATAGAGCTGGACTGAGGGAATAAACCAGGCCTTTTCCTGCCACAGACAGACAGACGGATAGCAGCCCCGCATGACTCTCATTACAACCGTCTCCACACAGAGGGCAGGAGAAGGACTCTGGGGAAGGACACTTACCATATACAGGGACGAGCACACATATATCATATGAATACATAAAGAGACGCTCTTTGGATTGACATATCTTACTTTAATGCTAGAAAAGGGGTGGAGTGCCAATTAAGATACGATGTGTGCAGTGTCACTTAGTGGCCAGTAGGTGGTATTAACTGTCTTGTTTGTATGCGAGTTGTGGTGGGAATCCCCATCCCAGCCTTGCACTCTGTTTCAATAATACAGTACCAGGAAGTTGTTCCTTCCATCACATACAGTATGTAAATAAGAATTGTATGATTATAATTATAATTTGTAGATTATAACCCCTCTCCCCTAGAACTCTTCCCCCATGTTGCTGTAAAAGAGAATGTGGTTTCTCAGCCAATTTACCTGGTCAAATGAACACATACATTTTATTGTCGGTTTCATGCAAATCCTTATTTCTGCTGATATCTTAGTAAACCAGGTTACGCAAAACTCTGATATAGAACTACAGAGACTTTCGGGTAATATACATATTTTTATTGTAGGAAATACATGTTTAATATCAGTTTAATTGTATATATCAATAGCAAATTGTCTTACATTATCATACTTAATTTCTCAAATAATTATATCTTACACACGATTTCACTCTTATTACATATTGATGTGTGTGTGTGTGTGTGTGTGTGCGTGGCGTGTGTGTGCATGGTGTGTGTGCTTCCATCTTGTCCTGTGCATATGGTCTCCCCTTTACTACAGATGAAGCTAGAGAACGAAAAACATACATACAGAGAGAAACATTACATCACTCTTGTAATGACGCAATACAATAATCAGTATTAAAGGACTGTAATTCCTACAGTTGATGCATACAAACTATACTATGCCTTGCTATTTTTTTTTGCAAGAAAAATAGGCAAGCAAACAACGTTTTTTATGTAGACGTTAAAAGAGGTTGAGGGATTACTGGTCATACCTTTCTGAGGTCCAGCACATCCTGCAGCATATAGCGGATTCTCGGGGAGGTTGTCCTGTTCTTCACAATAGTCTCAATATTCCTGTAGTACTGATTCATTCTGGGCTGTGGAGATATAGACAGGCCAAGTGAATGCGTTGACTGATTTGTAGATCTTAATCTATTGGATTGATCTATCCAATCATTTGGGATTAAAATGCACTGTACTCGTATAAATATAACAGATCAAATCAATGATTCAAAACAGACAGACAATGCTGTACCCTGGCCTTCTCTACGTCCAAGTCCTTGCCGATGGTGGAGAGCATTGTGCACAGACACTCCAGAGAGTTATCATCGCCATCATTAGATAGCTTTATGATACAGGTGTGCACAATTGACTCTGTAAGCATCTTCAACTTGAACAACTCGCAAATGAATCTGATGTTGCCTAGAGACCGTCTGCACCACATGGCCTTGGCCTCCTCCGGTTCCTCCTTCAGTCGCTGGCTGACCTCCCCCTGGAAGGTTTGGACAGGTTTCACAAGTTGTATCAGAGTGTTTAAGCACTTTTGATAAAATTCTAATTTAATTGGGAATAACAATTTATTTCCACTGCAATGTAAGGAGCAAGTTCTGATGTCATATACTGTATATCAAATATGTGTCAGTGTGTTCTGTCTATGGAGTAACCATGGAACATTTGTTTTATGACATGCATATTGCAGTGAAATCAGGGGGATAATCCCAACCGGGGCTTGAAACCTGGGAACTAGCAACTGTCAATCCAACCCCTTAGCTGTTAAAACGAGAACCAAACCTCTTGCCAAGATCACTAGGTGTCAGCTTAAGCTAGCCCCTAAAATATGTTATTGTACCTTGGTGGCGGTGTCCAGCTCCTTCTGCTTTCCTCCAAACAGCTCAGATGTATCATTCTCAAACTCCCTCTGGCATCGATTCAGCAGATAATTACGGAAATTCACAGTCACTCTCGGATTATATGACTTTGGCACTTTGAGCTGAAGAGTAAAAATTATGTTTTTACATCAAAGTTACAAAAAGTCAAAATGCCTGTGAATCAATGTTTTATTGGTAAAGTGGTCCTGGCATTTGGCAAACAAGAGCTAAGACAAAGGGAGACGGGCACAAACAGTTGCAGACTTACCCCCATGAGGCAGCGGCACAAGTTGGCGTACACCACAGAGCTGGCAGGGTGTGCTATGGCCCTCTCATGTATGAGGTCAACGATGCCCTTCAGCTTGTTGTCTGTGTCAATGGTGAGCTCAGTCACTACCACCATCAACTGCTGGAAGTTCTTAGGAGTCAACCTGTCCAGGATGTGACACATAGGGACAAACAGCTTCTGCATCTGTGGATCCTCAGCTTGCATGGTTTCCTTCAAGCCCTATAGGGCAGATATGGGTGACATGGTAAAATATCACTGGCAATATTCAATTTAGAAGGTACTACAACACAACTACAGTAGGCACTTACCAGGTTCCGTTCTACTGACTCCTCACTGACAAAATTGCCAGTTATATCTAGACCAGATCCAAAGATTAGAGAGAGATAAGTAGAGAGAGACAGAGAGCAGAAAAATACATACATTAATGTTGAGGAGCTGGTGGTGTCCTAGTGGAGACTGTAGACAATGTACACTGTCTGAGCTTTGCTACCTACATAAATAGACTGTACACATCCTCAGCTGTGTAGATAAAGACATAAGGAAAAAGAGAAGGGAATTATCTTATATACAGAACAATCCATTAAGAGACACATTGAGTAATATTTAATGAGTACCTGTTTTAGAGACCTTCACCAGTTCCTCTGTGCAGACATCCTCTAGTTTGTCTTTCAGTGTAGAGGTGAACATCTTAACTTTCTCAAAATATACTTGATGACCAACAGGAATCCTGGGTATGTCTTCAAATCCAAGAGGGGCAACTAGAGACTTGCAGCTCTAGATTCAAACAGAAACAAAAGAGAGATGCAGGATTGTAAATAGAGAGAAAAAATAGCAAGACTTCTATGTACATGAAAATTACAGAGGAGCATAGTTACCAGAGCCATATATTTCTAAATGGCTCGGAGAGTTACTAATGCTGCAGTACCTGGAGGAAATGGATGTGATCCTCTGTCTGTGTAAGCAGAATAATGTTAGCATCAATCTTCCTCAGCTCAACATTGTCCTTCTCCAGTGTCTCTAGAAGTCCTTCAGTCTCGCACACCATATCCCTCTCCTTAGCTTTGATAATCTCTCTCACCTCAGAGCTTCTTCTCTCAATGAAGCGGATCAGCTCATTGAAGGTCCTCTCACTGTCCACCACAGCTTCCTGTGCAGAGCACTGATAGGGAATTCAGAAAGTAGGAATTTAATTGAAGCCGCCATCGTAATATACTTGTTTACAACCTACAGTGTTGCTGTTTACAATTTACCTGGTTGTATGTTTTAATAGTTCCTGAAAACATTCTGTGGTTTTATTTTACCATTGAAAATATGGCTCTACTTGAGCTCCATCAATCTGTTGCCCACAGTGAGATACAGGTTGAGTGGCTAATCTAACTATAGGAGAGCCGCCCGGAAATAAGACAATAAATGGCATTTACATGTTTAAGGACAACACACTGTGCTGACGAACGGTTAATTAAAAGCAGTGGGTGGCCGTCCTATCTGCTCAGACTAGAACATTGGCATTCAGTACATCATTTTCTGTTGATATCCTGACACACTGCAGCCACCCTCTACTTTTAGAGGTTTGTCTTCGCAATGTGTTTTGTCCTTTAATGTTGCCATATTTTACATCCACAGGTCAAAACTTACCTTGACAGAACCCATCACGTTTTGCAGATCCAGCATCACAGTTTCCCTCTCCTTGATTTTCTGCTGACATTCCATTTGTACCTTCTTCACCTGTTCCTGTGAATATACATATTAAACACTATTTGATAATATTAATGCTGTGATGACAACAACAACAAGATTACATTGAAGAACAAAAGCTTTCTGGCATACCTGTTTCTTTGTCCTTTCAGCTTGAGCTACAACAATTTCATGACCTCTGTGTTGATCTATAGCACACTGATAACAAATGCACTGTTGATCAGTGCAGCAGTAGACCTCCAACAGTTTGTCATGGTGAGGGCAGATCTTCTCCTTTAGTTGTGTGGAGGCTTTACACAGACTATGTTTCTTCAAAACTGTTGATTCATAGTGAGGCTGAATGTGAGTCTCACAGTATGAGGCCAGACACACCAAACAGGATTTCACTGCTCTGTGTCGTTTATCAGTACAGATGTCACATGGCACATCTCCAGGTCCAACATACGGCAGAGAAGGTGAAACTTCTTGTCCCGTCTTCTTCAGTTTCCCCACTACTTCAGTTAGCATGTTGTTTCTGCTCAGGACAGGCCTTGGGGTAAAGGTCTGTCTGCATTGAGGGCAGCTGTAGATAAGCTTTTGATCATCCTGATCCCAGTGACCCTTAATACAGACTCTACAGTAGCTGTGTCCACAGGGAATAGTCACCGGATCGTTCAGTAAATCCAGACAGATTGAGCAGCTAAACTCATCCAGGTACACTGAAATACAGACCTCTGCCATTTTCAATGTCCTTAAAAACACTGAGAATAATCATCTAGTCACATTCAGTTTCATTTCTCTGAAACGGTTCTTCTTCTTCAAGTTTTATTGGCAAATCGCAACCAACTGACATGTGCATACACCGCCACCTACTGTACTGGAGTGTGAAGCAGCTCACAACCAACCTATACCACTATATTCTCTTAACTAACCCTACATTTCTAATAAAATAAAATAATTCCCTACAAATCTCATTACTCCCATCACCCCCACCCAAAATACCACCCACTCCCCATTCCCGTCCAACCTCTCTGACCCTGTCAAATAACATCTCCCTTTCTACATCATACATTTCACAAAATAATAATACATGTTCAAACGGTTTCTCTACCATACAGCCATTACACATTCCAGTACCATGTTTCCCTATCAATTTCAAAGATTAATTAAATCCCGTATGCCCTAATCTCATCCTACACAACATAAATTCCTCCCTTTCATTTCCATTATATGACACCATCTACAGATTTCATTGTACTATAAACATGTCTGCCCATACTACTTTCATCCCATTGTCTCTGCCAGCAATCTAACCCATTTTTCCGAATTAATGATTTAATTTCCCCTCTACCCAACTGCACCTTTTTCACTGGTCTTTTTGCTATTGTATCTACTATATCATTTCCATAAACTCCTGTATGAGCCGGAATCCAACAGAACTGAATTACGATACCATTACTTTGGAACCCCAAAAAGAGCATCATTATTGCTAACCATAAATCCTCACATTCTGACTTTCCAGATCTTAAACTACACAAAACTGATGTAGAGTCAGAACATATTACTACTCTTCTTGGTTGCGCCGCCTCTATCCATTGCAATCCAACAATTATCACATCCATTTCTGTTGCAGATACAGATAAATCATTTGTTAGTCTCTTACATAAATTAACATCGAACTCAGGAATAAATACACCTGCTCCTGTCTTCCCATTCATGGGATCCTTTGAACCATCTGTATACACGGCAAGAAAATAATAAAACCGATGACTAATATATTGATCCACTATTGTTCCTACATTATCTTCTTTACACCACTGTTTATTTCCTTCAATCAGGCTAAGATCAACATGTGGTCTGGTATAAAACCACGGTGGCACATTTCTGAAACCGTTTTTCAATGAGTCAGATGGGGAGTGGCCTTTACCTGCAAGTGTAGAACATAGAGTTGGATAGAGGGTACGTCTTTGCCATTATGGCTTCTGTGACAGCATGGGCAGCACCATTGAGGCTTATCTCCATGTTAAAGTAGTACATTTCTTCGTCTTCTACTTCTATGAGTTTATTGACACTCGCTAAACAAACAGAAAGGGTGCATACTGCCACCTGGGTTGGTGATTTACTGCCACATTCAGTTATGGAACGTTTACTCAGGAGTATAATTCATAGGCTGATACCTCCTGTTGATCTGGATGTTATTTTCTGTGTGATCCTTCCTTAACCTAGGGTTTCCCAAACTTGGTCCTGGGGCGGCCCCCCTGGGTGCACATTTTGGTTTTTGTCCTAGCAGTACACAGCTGATTCAAATAACCAATTCATCATCAAGCTTTGATTATTTGAATCAGCTGTGTAGTGCTAGGGCAAAAAACAAAATGTGCACCCGAGGGGTGTCAGGACCGAGTTTGGGAAACCCTGCCTTAACCCATGTCAAGTGTTAACAGTGTTTGGCCACCAAGTGCTAACAGTCAGTATCTAAATAATGTGTGTGAAATGCTAGATAGTGTATGTGATGTAAACAGAGAGATCTACTTTCTTGGGGACCTGAATATTGAGTGGTATTTATCAAGCTGTCCGCTCAAGAGGTAGCTTCTCTGTGTAACCAGTGCCTGTCATCTGGTTCAGGTTATTAATCAACCTACCAGGGTGTTTACAAACACTACAGGAACAAGATCATCCACATGTATTGATCCCATTTTTACTAATACTGTAGAACTCTGTTCTAAAGCTGTATCCGTACCCATTGGATGCAGTGATCACAATATAGTGGCTATATCTAGGAGAACCAAGGTTCCAAAAGCTGGGCCTAAAATAGTGTATATGAGATCATACAAAAGTTTTTGCTGCGACTCTTATGTGGATGATGTAAAACATATTTGTTGGTCTGATGTGATTAATAGGGAGCATCCAGGCGCTGCACTTTATGAATTTATGAAATTGCTTCTTCCAATTATTGATAAACATGCCCCTGTTAAGAAACTGTAAGGCTCCATGAATTGATGAGGAATTGAAAAACTGTATGGTTGAAAGAGATGGGGCAAAAGGAGAGCTAATAAGTCTGGCTGCACATCTGACTAGCTGACTTATTGCAAATTGAGAAATTATGTGACTAAACTTAACAAAAAGAAGAAGAAACTGTATTATGAAGCCAATATCAATGACATAAAGTATGATGGAAAAAAACTTTGCTGTACTTTAAATGAAATTATGGGCAGAAAGACAAATTCAACTCCATCGTTCATCGAATCAGATGGCTTATTCATCACAAAACCATTTGATGTTGCCAATTATTTAAATGATTACTTCATTGGCAAAGTGTGCAAACTTAAGCAGGAAATGCCAATAACGAAAAGTGAGCCACTGTATTCATGCATAAAAAAAACAAATAATGAAAGAAAAGCATTGTACGTTTTGAATTTTGTAAAGTTCGTGTGGGACAGGTGGAAAAATTATTGTTATCGATCAATAATGACAAACCTCCTGGCATTGACAACTTAAATGGAAGGCTACTGAGGATGGTAGGTGAGTCTATGGCCACTCCTATCTGTCATATCTTTAATCTGAGTCTAGAGGAAGGTGTTTATGCTCAGGCCTGGAGGGAAGCCAAAGTCATTCTGCTACCCAAGCGGCCTTTACTGGTTCTAACAGCAGACCAATCAACTTGCTGCCAGCTATTAGCAAACTGTAGGAAAAAAATGTGTTTGACCAAATACAATGCTATTTCTCTGTAAACAAATTGACAACAGACTTTCAGCATGCTTATAGAGAAGGGCACTCAACATGTACTGCACTGACACAAATGACTGATGATTGGTTGAAAGAAATTGATAAGAAGATTGTGGGAGCTGTACTGTTACATTTGATATTATTGACCATAACCTGTTGAGGAGAAAACAGCTGTGCCACTAGATATCCTGGTTCGAATCCAGGCTCTGTCGTAGCCGGCCGTGACCGGGAGACCCATGGGGCGGCGCACAATTGGCACAGCGTCGTCCAGGGTAGGGGAGGGAATGGCCGGCAGGCTTGTGGGTTTGTTTCCCACGGGGGGCCAGTATGAAAAAAAAAAAAAAAATATATATATATATATATATATATATATAATGTATGCACTCACTAACTGTAAGTCGCTCTGGATAAGAGCATCTGCTAAATGACTAAAATGTAAATGTAATATGTTTTATGGCTTTTCAACCTCTGCTATATCATGGATTCAGAGCTATTTATCTAATATAACTCAGAGGGTTTTCTTTAATGGAAGCTTCTCTAATGTCAAACATGTAGGGTGTGGTGTACCGCAGGGCAGTTCTCTAGGCCCTCTAAATTTATACAAAATTAAAAACGGAAATATTACATTTCCATAAGTATTCAGACCCTTTACTCAATACTTTGTTGAAGCACCTTTGGCAGCGATTACAGCCGAGTCTTCTTAGGTATGATGCTACAAGCTTGGCACACCTGTATTTGGGGAGTTTCTCCCATTCTTCTCTGCATATCCTCTCAAGCTCTGTCAGCTTGGCTGGGGAGCGTTGCTGCACAGCTATTTTCAGGTCTCTCCAGAGATGTTCGTTCGGGATTAAGTCTGGCCTCTGGCTGGGCCACTCAAGGACATTCAGAGACTTGTCCCGAAGCCACTCCTGCATTGTCTTGACTGTGTGCTTAGGGTCGTTGTCCTGTTGGAAGGTGAACCTTCGCCCCAGTCTGAGGTCCTGAGCGCTCTGGAGCAGGTTTTCATCAAGGATCTCGCTGTACTTTACTCCGTTCATCTTTCCCTCAATCCTGACTAGTCTCCCAGTCCCTGCCGCTGAAAAACATCCCCACAGCATGATGCTGCCACCACCACGCTTCACCGTAGGGCTGGTGCCAGGTTTCCTCCAGACGTGACACTTGGCATTCAGGCCAAAGAGTTCAATCTTGGTTTCATCAGACCAGAGAATCTTGTTTCTCATGGTCTGAGAATCTTTAGGTGCCTTTTGGCAAACTCCAAGTGGGCTGTCATGTGCCTTTTACTGAGGAGTGGCTTCTGTCTGGCCTGATTGGTGGAGTGCTGCAGAGATGGTTGTCCTTCTGGAAGTTTCTCCAATCTCCACAGAGGAACTCTGGAGCTCTGTCAAAGTTACCATCAGGTTCTTGATCACCTCCCGGACCAAGGCCCTTCTCCCCCGATTGCTCAGTTTGGCCAGTGGTCAGCTCTAGGAAGAGTCTTGGTGGTTCCAAACTTCTTCCATTTAAGAATGATGGAGGCCACTGTGTTCTTGGGGACCTTCAATGCTGCAGAAATGTTTTGGTACCCTTCCCCAGATCTGTGCCTCAACATAATCCTGTCTCGGAGCTCTACGGACAATTCCTTCGACCTCATGGCTTGTTTTTTGCTCTGACATGCACTGTCAACTGTGGGACCTTACATAGACAGGTGTGTGCCTTTCCAATTCATGTATATCAATTTAATTTACCACAGGTGGACTCCAATCAAGTTGTAGAAACATCTCAAGGATGATCAATGGAAACAGGATGAACCTGATCTCAATTTCGAGTGTCATAGCAAAGGGTCTGAAAACGTATGTAAATAAGGTATTACTGTTTATTTTTTTTATAGGAATTAGCAAAAATCTCTGAAAATCTGTTTTCACTTTGTCATTATGGGGTATTGTGTGTAGATTGATGAGGATTTTTTTTTATTTAATCCATTTTAGAATAAGGCTGTAACGTAACAAAATGTGGAAAAAGTGATGGGGTCTGAATACATTCCGAATGCACTATAAGTATAAATAACACATATTACAACACAAGCTAGGTTTCCATTCAATTGGCGACAGATTTCCATGCAAATATTCTAATTTCCGCATTTTCCCACCAGAGATGTCTTTCCATCAAATTGACTTGTTGCGGATAAAAGGCTGTGGGTGATGACGTAGTGCACATAAACATTACTTTTACATTTAAATTCCTGAATGTAGCAAATCAAAAATACAAGGTTTCCATCTACTGATGGTTTTGTCACAAAACATGTTGCGTTATATAGCGAATGTGCCCACTCTGGTATTGGCACGTGCGCTCTAGCCAACAGCTTGCAGAAACAGTGTGGGTATAGCCTACATGATGAGATTATTATTTGCCAAAGAGAGAGATTATTTTGATGTGCCAAACGGCAGCCAAGCATCGATCATCATGTCAGAATAAGACCCTCGATATTGATTGGAAAGGAGCATCAAGTTCATCACCTTGCACTTTCACCTCCCTGTGAAGTTCACCATAATTTATTTAATCTGTAGCCTAATAAACTGTATGCTTTCCTGAGTCGTAGTGGGAGGACCACACAACATGTCATTTTGTGACTCAAAGTTTACTTCGATATGATGGTTATTGTCCCCCATGACGAAACCGAGGAGGGGACTGTGGATCGGTCCATACGAGGAGGGGATTGTGGTCCGTCCATACGTTGGTCACACACGATCTCAGACAGCACTGGCCCGATTTCGACGAAACTTGGGTGAATGATGCATCCTGCGATAGAGATCCAGCATTTACAAAATTACACTGATTGGGCCAAGGCGGAAGCTATAATAATTAACTGAAATGTGTGAGTCACACCGGAGAGGGGAGGAGGCGAAGTGAGAGGGATAACTGGGCCCAAAATTTGTTTTCTCCAGCAGGTGGTGTTTTTTTCTTTGGCACAGTACAGGGAGTGGATTAGCTAAAGAGACTGCAGGGGTCAACATTCAGGGCTGCCTGCTGGTCCGGCAACATCTGCCGAGCTCACCGGGCCAGTTAATCAAGCTTTCACATGGTTCGCTTGGGCCAGTACATTTTCAAACTCAAAAACAAAAAAAAATAGATTTTTATTTAATCCTTCACAATTTTCCCAACGTCTTTTCGTGACAACTTTGATTTGCTGTGGGAGCAACCAAGTCTTTTTAAAAGAGACAGGATTCAACCTAACCGCAGGGGTTCCGGGATTATTTCCAGCAAAATCGCAAACGGACATTCTGGTAGTGCTCCAGTTCTCCCGGTCAGAATAAGCAACAGAGGACTTGGAAAGCATATCAACTCCTGTAGAAATGGCACTACGGTTATTGTGAGTAACCTAATTTTCATTCCTTTAACTCCGCCTTCTAGTGAGTTTATACAAACTGTCATCTCCTACCATTCTGATAGATTTAGCTCCACGGATAAATTATTAGACTGTATTAGTGATTTAAATACTTGGATGGCTCAGAACTTCCTCCAGCTAAATCAAGACAAGACCAAGGTACTTATTGTTGGAGTCAAAGCACAGAGAGAGAATCTAGCCGCACATTTTAATTCACGGGCAATAAAGATAAAACACCAGTTAAAAAACCTAGGTGTTATTTTAGATTCTGAACTCAATTTCGAATCACACTGTTGTGGAAAATTCGGCCACCACAACACATTAGGAATGTGACCAAAATAGCTTTTTACCACCTGAGGAACATTGCCAAGGTGCGGCCGTTTCTCTCTTAGGCTGATACAGAGAGACTCATCCATGCTTTTATTACAAGCAGGCTTGACTACTCTAATGCTATCCTGTCTGGTCTACCCAAGAAAGCCATTGATCAACTGCAAAACATACAGAGTGCTGCAGCACAGGTACTGACCACACATTACACTGGTTTTAAGGTCTCTGCACTGGATGCCTGTGAGTTTTAGAATTAAGTTGAAGATTCTTCTATTGGTTTTTAAATCAATCCACTATTGTGCACCCCAATACATGTCAGACATGCTTTTAAGTTATGTATCCAGCAGGTCCACTGGCACTGGCCTTTTAACTATCCCAAAGCCTAGGACCAAGAGGCATGGAGGCAGCCTTTAGTTATTATGCCCCCAGCCTCTGGAATAGCCTGTCAGAGAACATGAGGGGGGCCGAAACGCTGGACATTTTTAAAAGACATCTTAAAACACATATTTTTAGCTTTGCTTTTCCTTAGGGTGCTTTTTATTTGTGTCATTCTTTTTATTTTCATTGTTTTTTCTTCTTCTGTAAAGCACATTGTGTTGCATTCCATGTCTGAAATGAGCTGTATAAATAATGCTTGATTTGATGCTTGTTATCAACCAGCATTTGGTTTGCAAGCGGAGGCAAGAATGTCAGGGCCTTCCCCCTCTGTCTTGAGTGAGTCCCGCCTCAGTAGGCTAGGTCCTGGATAATTGCACCCTGTGCACAGGCCTGTTATTATTATTTTTATAAATCAAGGAAATATATACAGTATCCTATTATATATATATATATATATATATATATATATATATATATATATATATAACATACAATACCAGTCAAAAGTTTGGACACACCTGCTCATTAAAGTTTTTTTTAAAATTATATATGTATTTATTTAAACTATTTTCTACATTGTACATAGTGAAGACATCAAAATTATGAAATAACACATATGGAATCATGTAGTAACCCAAAAAAAGTGTTAAACAAATCAAAATATGTTTTATATTTGAGATTCTTCAAAGTAGCCTCCCTTTGCCTTGATGACAGCTTTGCACACTCTTGGCATTCTCTCAACCAGCTTAACCTGGAATGCTTTTCCAACAGTCTTGAAGGAGTTCCCACATATGCTGAGCACTTGTTTGCTGCTTTTCCTTCACTCTGCGGTCCGACTCATCCCAAACCATCTCAATTGGGTTGAGGTAAGGTGATGCACAGAATGCTGTGCTAGCCATGCTGGTTAAGTGTAACTTGAATTCTAAATAAATCACTGACAGTGTCACCAGCAAAGCACCATCACACCTCCTCCTCCATGCTTCACGGTGGGACCCACACATGTGGAGATCATCTGTTCACCTACTCTGCGTCTCACAAAGACACGGCGGTTGGAACCAAAAATCTCAGATTTGGACTCATCAGACCAAAGGACAGATTTCCACCGGTCTAATGTCCCCTACCTTGCATCATTCATGGGGGACAACATGTTTACTGTTGCCTTGTTATATCAATATTTGCGCATGAATATGTTCCACTGCCATTTCTCACATAATACATTTTACAGACACAAAACAATCTCACCTTGTTTTGTCAAACTCTGGAAAGTTTACTGACAAATTAGCTGTTTCCATCAGGCCTGTCGTGACATTTTCAATCCGACACGTACAGATGTAGGATCTTAATTTGATCACTCTTGTAGGTGCGAATTTTCTTGCACAGCAGGAAATGCAAACTTGTAGTGTATTCAAGGTTTAAAAAGGCTTCTAAAGTTAGTAATTTCCACTTTAAAATGTCAGACCTGATTTGCCCTAACGTAAAATGCATCAACCCCTATAAAACATATCCATTAATTATAATCCACAGAATAATACACATTTACTGTTGCTGCAGGATTCTTTTCCTGCTGTAACAAACTGCCTCAAATGAAGATCATACATCTGTACTTTACTTGCATAAAAAGGTTGAATTGAAACCTGGTAACACACATGAAACATGCATTTCAATGCAAAACGGCTATGTTCAGTTCTTGTGATTGGACTATACATATCAAATTAAACAAATAAACATTTACAGTAACTCGATGATGGGTGTTTGTGCATGTGTGTTGGAAAACCATTGTAAAAAACACAGTCCTGGTCTTCAATGGTCTTCCTTTTGTTCCTTGTACAAATGGAGCTGGAGAGAGAAAGTGGAACAGAGAGTGAAACATTAAATTAGACTTGAACAATCTAATATCAGTGGTTTAAGATTAGAGGATAGGTGAGAGAGAGGGAGGGAGGGGGAGAAAGAGAGAGAGACAGACAGACAACCAAAGACACAGAACAAACATAACAGGTAGTGGAGGTTGTGGGATAGCTGGTCATACCGTTCTGAGGTCCAGCACATCATGAAGCATATAACGGATTCTGTGGGAGGTCCTCCTTCTCTCCTTTATCAGATTAATCTGCGTGTAGTGCTCATCCATTCTGGGCTGTGGAAGTATAGACAGGCTTAGTGAATGCTGTTGACTGACAAACAACAGACGCACATCAATAAATCTATACAGACAGACAGACCTGGTTCTTCTCAGAGTCCAAGTCCTTGCCAATGGTGAAGAGTATTGTGCACAGACCCTCTAGCGAATCATCATCCCCATCCTTTATTAGCTTTACGATGCAGTAGTCTATGAGGCCCTCGGTCATCAACTTCAACTTGAACAACTCGCAGATGAATGTGATGTTGCCTAGCAACTCCCGCTGCCCCTCTGCCTTAGCCTCCTCCAGCTCCTCCCTCAGTCGCTGGCGGTCCTCCTCCTGGAAGGAAACCGGGACGTCTGTTCAGCCTGCCTTGTACTAATAAAAATGGCACTGGACTAAACAAGGTACAAGTTGTTACAAGCGTTACAATGATCAGTTGAAGGGAATACTTAAATGTAATACCAATGTAAAGTTAAGGGAAACTTAATCAATTACAATTGTTTAGAAAGAATAAGGCATTAGGAAGAGAACTTAAGTTTATGTAATGTGGATTTTGATATCTCAGAGATAAAATGTTGGTGTATGATGTGCTACCTCAGTGGTGGCGTCCAGTTCCCTCTGCTTTTCTTTTAAGATCTTACTATTATCTTTCTCAAAGCCCTTCTGGCATTGGTTCAGCAGCAGCTTGCGGAAATTTACTGTCACTCCAGGTATTTTGAGCTGAAAGGGCAGGATATGTAGGACACAAAAACCCATTGATGGGTTGTCATCAGATTATGGAGAGAGCGACACAGAGAGCGAGTTAGATTTGAATTAGATTCTGAACGTTGAACACTATTACATTTCTGTATTGGATACTTATTTGATTATATATATATATATATATATATATAGTCACACAGTCTTCACATTTTGCTGCCTTCAAATAAAAATTAAAAATCGGGATTTCTTCCTACAGATCTGCACAAACTACTTCACATTTTCAAAATGAAAGACAAATTATAGAAAATCTTCCAAATTAATAAAAGATAAAAAATGAAGACATTGATTGCGTACTTCTTCACACCGCAAAGTTAGCCTAATACTTGGTGGAAGCACCTTTTGCAGCCATTACAGGGCATTGTTTTTAGTCAAAATTGCTCAAGCTCAGTAAATTCAGTTGGGAATCATTGATGGACAGCAATATTCAAACCTTGTCTATGATTTTCACGCAGATTTAAGTCAGGGGGGTTGATACTGGACCACTCACGAACACTCAATACTTATTGGAAAACCATTTTGGTGTGTTTTTTTTGCATTAAAATGTGCGTAATTGTCCAGCTGAAAAGGAAAACTCTATCCCATAGTTAAGTTTTCAGAAGACTATGGCGGGTTTTCCTTTAACTTTTTACCTGGGCTTTGCTCCTTTCAAAAATGTATTTTGATCTTGACAAACTCCCCAGTCGCTGCCGGTGACAAGCATACCCATAACATGTTGCCACCACAATAATTGAAAATACTTGAAAATGTTGACTCCAATGCGTCCCACAGTTGTGTCAAGTTAGCTGGATGTCCTTTGGGTGATGGACTATTCTTGATACACACAGGAAACTGTTGAGCGTGAAAAACCCAGCAGCGTTGTAGTTCTTGACACACTCAAACCTGTGCGCCTGGCACCTACTACCATACCCCGTTCAAATGGAACTTAAATATTTTGTCTTGTCCATTCACCCTCTGAATGGCACACATACACAATTCACGTCTCAATTGTCTCAAGGCTGAAAAATCCTCCATCTACACTGATTGAAGTGGATTTAACAAGTGTCATCAATAAGGGATCATAGCTTTTACCTGGATTCACCTGGTCAGTCTAAGACATGGAAAGAGCAATGTTTTGTACACTCAGTGTTGCCCTAAGAGTTAGTAAAATCTTTAAAACAATAATATCAATCAATCAATCAATTTTATTTTATATAGCCCTTCTTACATCAGCTAATATCTCGAAGTGCTGTACAGAAACCCAGCCTAAAACCCCAAACAGCTAGTAATGCAGGTGTAATACACAGCTGTTGGTGACAGGCAAACACAAATACACACATGGAGACTTGTACAGATGCAGACGTACCCCCATGAATTGGTGGTGGTGGCACACCTTGGCATAGACCTCGGCGCTGGTAGGGTTTAGGATGGCCCTCTCATATATAGAGTCAATGATGCCCTTGAGTTTGTCCTCTGTGTCAATGGTGAATGCACTCACTACCTTCATCGACTGATGGAAGTTCTTGGGAGTCAGACTGGCCAGGATGTTATCCATTTGTTCATACATTTCTTCTGTCTTCACTGTCTCTAGGTCAACAAAGTCCTCCTTCAAGTAATAAGTTAAGAGGGCAGAAGAGGGAGTAAGCAGAGTTAAAGGGGGGTAGGGAGGCAATAACAAAGGGGCAGCATCACCAACAGATATTATCGCATCGATATTCAACCAGGAGTGTATTACAAATGTATATATTAATCTGACCAGATCTTACCAAGTCCTTTTCTTCCACTGCCTGTCTGGTAGTGCTAAGAGAACTGATAGCTGAGAGAGAGCGAGAGAAAAATAAAACAAGAAGGAGAAAGAGGAGGTTGTATGTCAGTCCTGTATGTTAGGTCCTTTACTTTATGCCAGTAATTCTGCTGTGATGGTACTACCCAGCTAGCACATTTGGTTCCTTGGAAGTTGTGGGAATGTACGTTTTGGTTTCCCATTGGTTCTGGAAACGAAGTCATACGTTTCCTGACCGGTAAAACTGAATGTTTTTTAAAACGTTTGAGAACGTTTAAAAAAGTGAAAAGTAGCCTGTTCTGGGAACTTACATTTTAAGGTCTCAGGGAGGTTCTCAGAACCTTTTACTATGTTTCCTGAAAGTTTTCCTTGGGAGGTTGTATTAACGTTCTGAGAATTAAAATTATAGGTAATTAAATAACGTTTTGAGAATATGTTTCAATAAGACTTTTAATAACACTGGTAGTTTAATTTAATTGATTTTAATTCCAAGCACAGATAGGACACATGGAAATTATTTTGCTTAGGCATTAATCATGCAAACACATTTATTTGTTATTGTGGCACGCCGTCAGTGAGACTTGAACCTATGATCTTCTGTTGTTTATCCATGGAATTAGTCCACTGTGCCACCACGACGGAGCTATCACACCATGTTTTTTTTACTCATACAAAACTGTTCATTTTAATCTATTTAAACAGACCCCATTTCAAAGGGAACAAGCACTCATTATGATCAGGTGTGGCCTATTAGTGGGCGTGGCCATCACACCTGAACACACTTAACAAGATAGGATATATTCGTTGTTAAATAACATTCTTAGAACCTTCTTTAAACGTTATTAATGTTTTCTTGTGGTTTTTATAGAAAGTTTTCTTAGTGTTCTGAGAGCATGACTTTAAATAGAACCATGATGAAATCTGTAGAAAACCTTATCATGAAGTACTGAAATTCCCACAGAAGAACGTTGTTTCTTAACATTCTCGGAATGATTTGAGAACATAATTTTAAATAGAACCATGAGGAAACCTGTAGGAAATGTTATGCTGAAGTACTGGAATTCCCACCAAAGAAACATATGGTTTTCAGAAAATTATGTGCTAGTTGGGTAATCTGCACCATTCCCAGAACGTTGTGGGAAGGTTGTATGCAAAATAACTATAGGACAACCACGCTCTCACCAAGCTCTAAGAAACATATGGTTCTCAGAACGTTGTGCTAGCTGGGTACTTACTGTATGGTCCCAGACTTTCTTCAACTGTTGAAAGAAATACAGAAAAAAAAGTGTTCACATATGAAGGAATCTTATTGTGCTTAGAAATAGTAGTCCTTGGGTTGCAAAAATCCCAGCAATTTAACCATACTTCCCAGGTTTTCCAGAAATCCCGGCTGGAAGATTCCCGGAATCAGGAGGGAATAAGCAGGGAATCCAATTGCCTCTAACCAGGATTTCTGAAAAACCTGGGCATGTTGGGAAAGTTACTGGAATTTTGCAGACCTAAGTAGGCCTATAATTTGAAATAAGCACCTGATTTAGAAAACTCCACAAATTGCAACTTGGAGGAATCCTCAAATTGTTGTTGCATTTCAGAGGCATATGTCCTCACTTCTTCAAAAGCCTCAGTGATGCTGGGCAATGTCTACAAACAGACAATGAAACATTCAGGACATCAGATATCCCACAAATCCATTTCAGAAAAACTTCTTAATACACTGCAACATGGTAAAAGTCAACATATCAGGTGTCCATATAAATAGTTATATATAGTGAGCAGAGATAGAAGTTGTCTATATCCTCTTTTTAATATAATATATATATATATATATATATATATATATATATATATATATACACACACATACACACACACACCTTTTCAAAACAGTTCAGCAAAAACAGTAAAAAAAACTAAAACAAAACAATGAACTAAAGCTTAGCAAGATATTAGTTAATCAAGTCTTCCTGGTTTGTGAATTATATCTATTTCTCCCAGTTACTTTCAAATAAAGGTTTTTGGAGTCTTAAGGTATATGTATGTCAAGCTTTCCATATAAAGATTTATTGGATTATACTTTTGGGGCTTCTACTTTATACCAGTTCCTGGTACTGGCTTTTTTACTTGCAGCAAGGTGACTTTTAACAAGTATCTGACTGCCCATCACATTCTCTGGGACATTACCAAGGTACATTATAGGGCAAGTTCTAGGGACTTCATATCTTAAGACATCTTTTAGCACTGAGCATACATTATCCCCCAAAAATGACATCTTTGGATATTTCCATTAAACATGGGTGTGGTTGGCATCTACATGGCCACACAGCTGCCAGCATGGCTGTTGTATACCTAGCTGTTGACTTTTGATTCTAGGAGTGATAAAAAAATGAGTTATATTTTTCAAAACAGAACTCTCTCCATGTTCTTGAGTGTCACAATAATATTGTTATCTCAATGGTTGAAGTCAACTACTTCTTAAATCTTTGAATAATTCCCAAAAGGTTGTAAATCTCTTAGTTTGAATAAATTAAACAAAGACTCAATCCTGCAATGGTCAACACGTTTATTCATGAGAGCGCTCTGCAACAAAATGGTCGTACAATATTTTTATATGCACACGTCAGAGGAGAAATCCCACCCCGCTGTAGGCGGGCTGTATTTTTCCACTGTACACATCTTGTAAGTTCACACCTGGGTCTAGCTCACGTGATTTTCCTCTGATCTCCTGACCATCAGGTCACACACACACACACACACACACACACACGTTCTTATCATAGTCTACTTCTTGCTCGGGCAGGCTGCATTCTTCAGTTATCGCGTCCTCACAATATCCTGAAAGCCTCTTCACTCCCCTTTCCCTGTGTGTTTTGGGAACCAGTCTCCTGTTATTTGGTTTCAATCGTTTTGCACTTCTGCTTGCCTAATTACAAGACACAAATACTCTGTTGCTGTGATATAAACACATTTGATTAACTCTCTAAGCTCTAGTCTACTAATTAGTCATACATTGTTAGTTTAACTGAGGGTGTGACATTTTAGTCATATCTTACTCACACATTTCTTTATCATTGAGTTTGCAGAAGTACAGTGCATTCGGAAAGTATTCAGACCACTTTCTTTTTCCACATTTTGTTACGTTACAGCCTTATTCTAAAATGGATGAAATAAGTAAAAATCCTCAATCTACACACAATACCCCATAATGACAAAGCGAAAACAGGTTGAGACATTTTTGCAAATGTATCAAAAATAAAATAAAACAGAAATACCTTATTTACATAAGTATTCAGACCATTTGCTATGAGACTCGAAATTGAGCTCAGGTGCATCCTGTTTCCATTGATCATCCTTGAGATGTGTCTACAACTTGATTGGAGTCCACCTGTGGTAAATTCAATTTTACATGATATGGAAAGAAACACACCTGTCTATATAAAGGTCCCACAGTTGACAGTGAATGTCAGAGCAAAAACCAAGCCATGAGGTCAAAGGAATTGTCCGTAGAGCTCCGAGACAGGATTGTATCGCGGCACAGATCGGGGGAAGGGTACAAAAAAATGTCTGCAGCATTGAAGGTCCCCAAGAACACAGTGGCCTCCATCATTCTTAAATGGAAGGAGTTTGGAACCACCACTACTCTACCTAGAGCTGGCCGCCCGGCCAAACTGAGCAATCGGGGGAGAAGGGCCTAGGTCAGGGACATGACCAAAAACCTGATGGTCACTTTGACAGAGCTCCAGAGATCCTCTGTGGAGATGGGAGAGCCTTCCAGAAAGACAACCATCTCTGCACCAATCAGGCCTTTATGGTAGAGTGGCCAGACGGAAGCCACTCCTCAGTAAAAGGCACATTACAGCCTGCTTGGAGTTTGTCAAAAGGCACCTAAAGGATCCTCAGACCATGCGAAACAAGATTCTCGATTCTGGTGAAACCAAGATTGAACTCTTTGGCCTGAATGCCAAGCGTCACGTCTGGAGGAAACCTGGCACCATCCCTACGGTGAAGCACGGTGGTGGCAGCATCATGCTGCGGGGATGTTTTTCAGTGGCAGGGAGCAAAGTACAGAGAGATACTTGATGAAAACCAGAGCGCTCAGGACCTCAGACTGGGGCAAAGGTTCACCTTCTAACAGGACAACGACCCTAAGCACACAGTCAAGACAACGCAGGAGTGGCTTAGGGACAAGTCTCTGAATGTCCTTGAATTGCCCAGCCAGAGCCCGGACTTGAACCTGATCAAACATCTCTTGGGAGACCTGAAAATTGCTGTGAAGCAACACTCCCCATCCAACCTGACAGAGCTTGAGAGGATCTGCAGAGAAGAATGGGAGAAATTCCACAAATACAGGTGTGCCAAGCTTGTAGCCTCATACCGAAGAAGACTCGAGGCTGTAATCGCTGCTAAAGGTGCTTCAACAAAGTACTGAGTAAAGGGTCTGAATACTTATGTAAATGTGATATTTCAGTTTTTTATTTTTAATAAATTGGCAAAGATTTCTAAGAACCTGTTTTTGCTTTGTCATTATTGGGTATTGTGTGTAGATTGATGAGGGGGGGGGGGGGGGGGGGGGGGGGCAGTTTAATCAATTTTAGAATAAGGCTGTAATGTAACGAAATGTGGAAAAAGTCAACAGGTCTGAATACTTTCTGAATGCACTGTATTTTGGGTACTGCATATATTGTCCCAGTCTTCCTCTGAGATGTCTATATTCAGTTCCTTTTCCCATTTTGCTTTAATATAAAGAGTTGAGTCTTTTCTAGAGTCTATCAGGCCATGACAGAGTGAAGAGGTTGTCTTGGACATTGCCTATTTATATGCATTTCGAATCACATGGATAGTCATATTTGGTATCAAAGAAGGCTCTGTAATATTTCTCTTTTTCAAAAGACTAATTTTAAATATCTGAAGAAATCTTGGTTATCCATACCATATTTCTCCTTGAAATTCTGAAAACGTAAGTGTTCTCCATCCTCTACAATGGTACAAAATGCTGTCATGCCTCTCTCAGATCCACCTCTACGCAGACGACACCATTTTGTATACATCTGGCCCTTCATTGGACACTGTGTTAACAAACCTCCAAACGAGCTTCAATGCCATACAACACTCCTTCAGTAGCCTCCAACTGCTCTTAAACACTAGTAAAACTAAATGCATGCTCTTCAACCGAACACTGCTTGCACCCGCCCACCCGACTAGAATCACTACTCTCGACGGGTCTGACCTAGAGTATGTGGACAACTACAAATATCTAGGTGTCTGGTTAGACTGTAAACTCTCCTTCCAGACTCACATTAAGAATCTCCAATCCAAAGTTAAATCTAGAATTGGTTTCCTATTTCGCAACAAAGCCTCCTTCACTCATGCTGCCAAACATGCCCTCGTAAAACTGACTATCCTACCGATCCTTGACTTCGGCGATGTCATTTACAAAATAGCCTCCAACACTCTACTCAGCAAATTGGATGTAGTCTATCACAGTGCCATCCGTTTTGTCTCCAAAGCCCCATATACTACCCACCACTGTGACCTGTACGCTCTTGTTGGCTGGTCCTCACTACATATTCGTCGCCAAACCCACTGGCTCCAGGCCATCTATAAATCACTGCTAGGCAAATCCCCGCCTTATCTTAGCTCATTGGTCACCATAGCAACACCCACCCGTAGTATGCGCTCCAGCAGGTATATCTCACTGGTCATCCCCAAAGCCAACACCTCCTTTGGCCGCCATTCCTTCCAGTTCTCTGCTGCCAATGACTGGAACGAATTGCAAAAATCTCTGAAGCCGGAGACACTCATCTCCCTCACTAACTTTAAGCATCAGTTGTCAGAGCACCTTACCGATCACTGCACCTGTACACAGCCCATCTGAAATTAGCCCGCCCAACTACCTCATCCCTATATTGTTATTTATTTTGCTCATTTGTACCCCAGTATCTCTATTTGCACATCATCTCTTGCACATCTATCATTCCAGTGTTAATACTAATTGTAATTATTTTGCACTATAGCCTATTTATTGCCTTACCTCCATAACTTGCTACATTTGCACACACTGTATATATATTTATTTCTGTTGTATTTTTGACTTTGTTTTGTTTTACCCCATATGTAACTCTGTGTTGTTGTTTTTATCGCACTGCTTTGCTTTATCTTGGCCAGGTCGCAGTTGTAAATGAGAACTTGTTCTCAACTGGTTTACCTGGTTAAATAAAGGTGAAAAAAATAAAATAAAAATGAATGTCCAAAATGTGTCTTTATCCCCAGGTGAAGTTGTCTATATTCTAAGTGCTGAATGATATTGACCTACCAATATAGAGAAAATAAATGCCTTTGTTCAAAACGGATCAAAACATTTCCCCTTCTAAATGTCAAACTTTACACTCTTAAATGTTCTTGTGAACATCTGTAGCACTTTATTAGAGCGCTATTGATCTTACCTGTAGGAAATGGGGGTAGACCTCTATGTGTGGAAGCTGTCTGCCCTCTGTTTCAGTCCTCTTCAGCTCATCAAGCTCCTGCTCTAGTGTCTGTAGGAGTCCCTCAGCCTCACTCACCATCTCCTTCTCTTTAGCTTGGATCACCTCTCTCACCTCTGAGCACCTTGTCTCAATCAGCTTGGTGAAGAACCTCTCACTGTCCTCCATTGTAGCCTGTGATAAGCACTGTCAAAAGAGAGAAAGAGGCGTCTGTTGAGACATTTGGCTCAGAAACTTTGGTAAGCATTGTCTGCGTCCCGAATTCTCCACACTTATCCCAAAGTATGGACTTGCACACTCCCCGTCATGATTGATGGACTGCAGTGGATAGCGGCCGTTATACGGGCTCCTGACCAATACTGCTATTTTTTAATTTTTTTTACATAATGTCTCCACCTTAATTTCCTATGATCGAAAATGGCTTCTGGACATCAGAACATCGATCACTAACCACGATTTGGATCAAGATTTCTACTTCATTGAGTCAGCAGCTCTAGACATTCTTCTTACTCTATTGTTTAGGAGGTCTCTAGTTTAGGAGGTCTCTAGTTTTTGCTTTCACTAACTGTAAGTCGCTCTGGATAAGAGCGTCTGCTAAATGACTTAAATGTAAAATGTAAATGTAGATACCTTGTAGCTGTCTATTTACCACCACAAATCAATGCTGGCACTAAGACCGCACTAAATGAGCTGTATAGGGCCACAAGCAAACAAGAAAATGCACATCCATAGGCAGAATGGCCGGAGAATTTTTGTATTTTGATTTTTTGGGTACTTTTTACCACTTTTTCGTGATATCCAATTGGTAGTTACAGTCTTGTCCCATCGCTGAACTCCCGTACGGACTCGGGAGAGGCGAAGGTCGAGAGCCATGTGTCCTCCGAATCACGACCCCGCCAAGCCGCACTGCTTCTTGACACACTGCTCGCTTAACCCGGAAGCCAGCCCCACCAATGTGTCAGAGGAAGCACCTTACAGCTGGTGACTGAAGTCAGCGTGCATGCGCCCGGGCCGCCACAAGGAGTCGCTAGAGCGCGATGGGACAAGGAATATCCCAGCCGGCCAAACCCTCCCCTAACCCAGCCGACGCTGGGCCAATTGTGCGCCGCCGCATGGGTCTCCCGGTCGCGGCGCTGGCCGGTGATTTTAATGCAGCGAAACTGAAATCCATTTTACCTCACTTTTAACAGCATTTCACCTGTGCAACTAGAGGTGACAAAACTAATCTTTGATCACCTTTACTCCACACACAGAAACAAACACAAGGCTCTCCCTCGCCCTCCCTTTGGCAAATCTGACCATAACTCTATGCTCCTGATTCCTGCTTACAAGCACAAATTCAAACAGTAAGTACCAGTGACGTGCTCAATACGGAAGTGGTCCGATGAAGCGGATGCTAAGCTACAGGACTGTTTTGCTAGCACATACTGGAATATGTTCTGGGATTTATCTGATAACATTGAGGTGTTTACCACATCAGTCACCAGCTTCATTAATAAGTGCATCGACGACGTCGTCCCCACAGTGAACGTACGTACATATCCCAACCAGAAACCATGGACTACAGGCAACATCCGCACTGAGCTAAAGGCTAGAGCTGCCACTTTCAAGGAGTGGGACACTAATCTGGACGCCATCCGGAAGCCATCAAACAGGCAAGACCTTTAAGCAGGTTAACATTCACAAGGCCGCGGGGACAGATTGATTACAAGGAAGCGTACCTAGAGCACGCGCTGATCAGCTGGCAAGTATCTTCACTGATATTTTCAAAGTCTCCCTGACCCTGTCTGTAATACCTACATGTTTCAAGTAGACCTCCATAGTCCCTGGGCTCAATAACTCCAAGATAACCTGTCTAAATGACTATGGCCCCATAGCACTCACATCTGTAGCCATAAAATGCTTTGAAAGACTGGTCATGGCTCACATCAACACCATCATTCCAGACACCCTGGACCCACTCCAATTTGCATACCACCCTAATAGAAGACACAATCTCCATTGCACTCCACACTGCCCTCCCCACCTACATAACACCTACTGTATGTGAGAATGTTTTTCATTGACTACAGCTTAGCGTACACCACCATAGTGCCCTCCAAGCTCATCACTAAGCTCAGGACCCTGGGACTGAACACCTCCCTCTGCAACTGGATCCTGGACTTCCTGACAGGACACCCCCAGGTGGTGAGGGTAGGCAACAACACATCTGCCATGCTGGCCCTTAACATGGGGGGCCCTCAGGGGTGCATGCCTAGTTCCCTCCTGTACTCCCTGTTCACCCACGACTGCGTGGCCGCGCACGACTCCAACACCATCATGAAAACAGGCAAATATATTGATAAAAGTCACCTTGTCCTAGAGAGATCTACACAGTTATCAAAACATCACGCCAGGGTAAGCGTATACGAAACACAGCCCTTATTTGAAGTGTTTCTAAAATCCCTTATGGGAAAAATGAATGGTGGAAAAACGATTGGAACCATGGGTATTATTAGGTTTTATGGGTATTATTACTCATACTGTGGTACTCTATTGAAAGGAGGTCAGTGACCTGGCAGTGTGGTGCCAGGACAACAACCTTTCCCTAAACGTCTGCAAGACAAAGGAGCTGATCGTGGTCTAAAGGAAAAGGAGGGCTGAGCACGCCCCCATCCACATCGACGGGGCTGTAGTGGAGCGGGTTGAGAGCTTCAAGTTCCTCGGTGTCCACATCACTAAGGAATTAACATGGTCCACGCACACCAAGACAGTCGTGAAGAAGGCACGACAACACCTCTATCCCCTCAGGAGGCTGAAAATATTTGACATGGGCCCTCAGATTCTCAAAAAGTTATACCACTGCACCATTGAGAGCATCTTGACTGGTATGGCAACTGCTTGGCATCCGACCATAAGGTGCTACAGAGGGTAGTGCGTACGGCCCAGTACATCACTGGGGCCGAGCTTCCTGCTATCCAGGACCTCTATACCAGGCGGTGTCAGGGGAAGGCCCTAAAAATTGTCGAAGACTCCAGCCACCCAAGTCATAGACTGTTCTCTCTGCTACCACATGGCAAGTGGTACCGATGCACCAAATCTAGAACCAACAGGACCCTGATAAGCTTCTATCTCCAAGCCATAAGACTGGTAAATAGTTAACCAAATAGCTACCTGGACTATATGCATTGACCCCCCTTTGCACTAACTCTTTTGACTCATCACATACACTGCTGCTACTGCTTATTATCTATCCTGTTGCCTAGTCACATTACCCCTACCCATATGTACCTCAATTACCTCGTACCCCTGCACATCGACTCGGTACTGGTACCCTGTGTATATAGCCAAGTTATTGTCACAGATTGTGTATTTATTGTGTTATTATATTTATATTATTTTTCTCTCTGCATTGTTGGGAAGTAGCATTTCACTGTAAGTAAGCATTTCACTGTAAGTAAGCATTTCACTGTAAGTAAGCATTTCACTGTTAGTCTACACTTGTTGTATAGGAAGCATGTGAACATTTTATTTGTATTTTATTTGAGAACAGAGCCATGGGATGAATATCAATTGTATTTGTTTCATTCCTCACGTCCTCACCACCTTCTCAAAGCGCATTGGAGAAGGTCCGATGGGAGGAAACTCAGATCTTCTCCTCCAATACATTTTGAGAAGGAGGTGAGAAGAGAGGATGTGAGGAATCAAGCATTGGTTTTAGTGATCATATGGTAACCTACTGTACCCATAAGAAATCCAAAATACTACTTGAGTCAGGTAATAACTATATGAAGGTACGGTCTATGAAACAATACGCAAAGGAGCATTTTGTAGAAGTACTTGGAAATTTGTATTGGTCTCATGTACTAAACTGTGATGATGTAGATCAAGCTTGATATTTTTTTAAAGATATGTTCCTGTCTGCACTCGACTCTCTGGCTCCGATGAAACAAATTAGAATCAAAACAGCGGTCAGGGAAATGGATCACTTCATAAGGAAAAGGGATCGCTACCTGGCCAAATTCAAAAGGACAAATCTACAACAAGATTATGATGGTTATATTAACTGTAGAAACCAGGCAAGATACAAAATGGATAAGGCCAAATCCCAACATTACATAGACGCTGTCAATGACAACTTACATCAGCCTCGTAAATTGTGGAACATTTTAAAGGACATTGGCTCAAAAACTCCCCATAAGGTAAAATCCTGTTGTATTGGCCTGGATAATGATTATGTTTTATGCTATGACCAGGAAAAGGTTGCAAATTATTTTACCACATTTTTTACCACATCTCTGATTAAGAAGTTACCGACCTGCTCTGGACACTATGGCCAGTGTTTCATTAACAACTTTTACCATAGCAAAGGTATCACAAATGATTTGTTTGAGCTGTGCATGGTAACAGAGGACAAAGTTTCCAATCTATTATGCTTAATGAGCGCAAACAAAGCAACTGGGCTGGATAACCTTCCTGCAAGATTCATAAAGGTTAGTGCTTGTGTCACTGCTAAAATGATAACGCATATTGTAAACCTTTGTTAGTAGGGGTACGTTTCCCAATGATCTCAAAACAGCAAGGGTGGTTCCGCTACACAAGAAGAGCAGTAAAGCAAATGTAGGAAACTACAGGCCTGTGTCGATCCTCAGCACCTTATCCGAAGTTGTTGAGAGATGAGTTTTTAAATCAACTTGAGGGATACCTTCTCGAGCACAAACTTCTTTATGAACTCCAATCTGGCTTTAGAACAGCTTATTCCACTGATCCTAGCCTTATCCACCTTTTTGACCACATCAAGCAGGAAAGTGAGAAGGGGAAATACAGTGCCTTGCAAAAGTATTCATCCCCCTTGGCGTTTTTCCTATTTTGTTGCATTACAACCTGTAATTTAAATGGATTTTTATTTGGATTTCAGGTAATGGACATACAAAATAGTCCAAATTGGTGAAGTGAAATTTAAAAAAAAAAAAAATAACGGAAAAGTGGTGCGTGCATACAGTGGGGAAAAAAAGTATTTAGTCAGCCACCAATTGTGCAAGTTCTCCCACTTAAAAAGATGAGAGAGGCCTGTAATTTTCATCATAGGTACACGTCAACTATGACAGACAAAATGAGAAAAAAAAATCCAGAAAATCACATTGTAGGATTTTTAATGAATTTATTTGCAAATTATGGTGGAAAATAAGTATTTGGTCAATAACAAAAGTTTCTCAATACTTTGTTATATACACTTTGTTGGCAATGACACAGGTCAAACGTTTTCTGTAAGTCTTCACAAGGTTTTCACACACACTGTTGCTGGTATTTTGGCCCATTCCTCCTCCAGATCTCCTCTAGAGCAGTGATGTTTTGGGGCTGTCGCTGGGCAACACGGACTTTCAACTCCCTCCAAAGATTTTCTATGGGGTTGAGATCTGGAGACTGGCTAGGCCACTCCAGGACCTTGAAATGCTTCTTACGAAGCCACTCCTTCGTTGCCCGGGCAGTGTGTATGGGATCATTGTCATGCTGAAAGACCCAGCCATGTTTCATCTTCAATGCCCTTGCTGATGGAAGGAGGTTTTCACTCAAAATCTCACGATACATGGCCCCATTCATTCTTTCCTTTACACAGATCAGTCGTCCTGGTCCCTTTGCAGAAAAACAGCCCCAAAGCATGATGTTTCCACCCCCATGCTTCACAGTAGGTATGGTGTTCTTTGGATGCAACTCAGCATTCTTTGTCCTCCAAACACGACGAGTTGAGTTTTTACCAAAAAGTTATATTTTGGTTTCATCTGACCATATGACATTCTCCCAATCCTCTTCTGGATCATCCAAATGCACTCTAGCAAACTTCAGACGGGCCTGGACATGTACTGGCTTAAGCAGGTGGACACGTCTGGCACTGCAGGATTTGAGTCCCTGGCGGCGTAGTGTGTTACTGATGGTAGGCTTTGTTACTTTGGTCCCAGCTCTCTGCAGGTCATTCACTAGGTCCCCCTGTGTGGTTCTGGGATTTTTGCTCACCGTTCTTGTGATCATTTTGACCCCACAGGGTGAGATCTTGCGTGGAGCCCCAGATCGAGGGAGATTATCAGTGGTCTTGTATGTCTTCCATTTCCTAATAATTGCTCCCACAGTTGATGTCTTCAAACCAAGCTGCTTACCTATTGCAGATTCAGTCTTCCCAGCCTGGTGCAGGTCTACAATTTTGTTTCTGGTGTCCTTTGACAGCTCTTTGGTCTTGGCCATAGTGGAGTTTGGAGTGTGACTGTTTGAGGTTGTGGACAGGTGCCTTTTATACTGATAACAAGTTCAAACAGGTGCCATTAATACAGGTAACGAGTGGAGGACAGAGGAGCCTCTTAAACAAGAAGTTACAGGTCTGTGAGAGCCAGAAATCTTGCTTGTTTGTAGGTGACCAAATACTTATTTTCCACCATAATTTGCAAATAAATTCATAAAAAAATCCTACAATGTGATTTTCTGGATTTTTTTCCCCCTCAATTTGTCTGTCACAGTTGACGTGTAACTATGATGAAAATTACAGGCCTCTCTCATCTTTTTAAGTGGGAGAACTTGCACAATTGGTGGCTGACTAAATACTTTTTTCCCCCACTGTATTCACCCCCTTTGCTATTAAGCCCCCACCTTCAGAAGTCACATAATTAGTTAGATTGCACACATGGACTTTATTTAAGTGTCACATGATCTCAGTATATATATATATATATACACACACCTGTTCTGAAAGGCCCCAGAGTCTGCAACACCACTAAGCAAGGGGCACCACCAAGCAAGCGGCACCATGAAGACCAAGGAGCTCTCCAAACAGGTCAGGGACAAAGTTGGAGAAGTACAGATCAGGGTTGGGCTATAAAAAAAAATATCCAAAACTTTGAACATCCCACAGAGCACCATTAAATCCATTATTACAAAATGGAGAGAATATGGCACCACAACAATCCTGCCAAAAGAGGGCCGCCTACCAAAACTCACAGACCAGGCAAGGAGGGCATTAAATTTGAGAGGCAAAAAAGAGACCAAGGATAACCCTGAAGGAGCTGCAAAGCTCCACAGCAGAGATTGGAGTATCTGTCCATAGGACCACTTTAAGCCATACACTCCACAGAGCTGGGCTTTACGGAAGAGTGGCCAGAAAAAAGCCATTGCTTAAAGAAAAAAATTAGCAAACACGTTTGGTGTTTGCCAAAAGGCATGTGGGAGACTCCCCAAACATATACAAGAAGGTACTCTGGTCAGATGTGACTAAAATTGAGCTTTTTGGCCATCAAGAAAAAAGCTGTCAGATGGCGGTAAATATGGGGGGGGGGGGGGGGGTGAATAGTTATGCACGCTCAAGTTCTGTTTTTTCGTCTTATTTCTTGTTTGTTTCACAATAGAAAATATTTTGCATCTTCAAAGTGGTAGGCATGATGTGTAAATCAAATGATACAAACCCACAAAAAATCCATTTTAATTCCAGGTTGTAAGGCAACAAAATAGGGGGGTGAATAATTTCGCAAGCCGCTGTATACAGGCATGGACATTCAGAAAGCTTGACACTGTGGACCATGATATTCTCCTGATGAAACTGAAAGGCATGGGTCTAAATTATGTAGCAGTTAATCGGTTTAGGTCATATCTGACCAACTGAATACAAGTATGTAATGTTGGTGATGCCAAAGAGATATCCTGTGGAGTACCATAGGGATCAATTTTAGGGCCTCTCTTATTTCTTGTATACGTCAATGATATGCCAGATACAGTAAAGTGCAAACTCCTGCTTTATGCTGATGACTCAGCCATACTGGTATCAGGGAAAGATACAGTTTACATACAGGAGACCCTGAGTAAGGAATTGCATTTTGTTAGAGATTAGTTGACTGACAACAAATTGTTGCTACATTTGGGAAAAACTGAATCGATTTTGTTTGGAACAAAACGTAGATTACTTAGGGCTGACAAGATAAAGGTCAACTGTGCAGGCAAGGAGATTGAATCTAAAACAAGTGTAATTATCTTGGTGTGTCCCTAGATCAATCCCTTTCTAGAGACCTGATTGCTGCTAAAATTATTTCTGAAATGGCGAACAAATTGAAATGTTTCTATCGTAACACTATATATTTTCACAACAAGGTTAAGAAATTGCTTGTCTCAACCTTGATTCAGTGTCATTTTGATTATGACTGCTCTTCTTGGTATAGTGAAAAAGAGAATGCAGGTTATGCAAAATAATGTTATCAGGTATATGCTTCATGTCCCCCCTAGGACCCACATAGGGGTACAGGAGTTCCGGGAGGTGCGCTTGTTGCCTTTGGATTCCAGAGTGGACCAACTTAAACTTAATCATATGTTTGACATCTTAAATGATCGTGCCCCAGGTTATATGAAAAACCACATTGACTAGGTCTATAACCAGCACAGTTACAATACCAGAGCTAGTGTTATGTCTTGTAAAATCCGAGAGTAAACAGTACAGCGAGGAGCACGTTTTTCGATACAGGCATTTGTCTATGAAATAGCCTCCCCTTGGACATCAAGCAAAGACAAAGTAGAAATAGCTTTAAAAAGCAGGCAAAGGTTTTCATTTGGACAAGGTTGTCTAAGTAAGACAAACCACTCCACTGTCCCTTGTGCCCCTACTGCTGGTCAGGTGTATTTATTTGAATGACAGGTATGATGTGCAATGAATAGATCGTTTTTAAAGGTCGAAATGTGAAATTAATATGGTTGATTTTTAAGGTTAGGGAAAAGTGCAGAGAATAGTGCCAATTTCTAGGATGTCAATATAAATTAATGTATTTATGGTTGTTTGTAATTTTGTCTTGCCTTTTAAATCATAGGTCTTTGTTTTTAGCATCGAGGACAACTTTGGAAACAAGCGTTTTTAATTACTACTTTTAAGTGATACCCTCTGGGTCCACATTGTACATTTTGTTGTATACAGTGCATTCAGAAAGTATTCAGACCCCTTGACTTTTTCCACATTTTCTTACGTTACAGCATAATTCTAAAATGGATTAAATAAAAATTTTCCCCTCATCAATCTACACACAATACCCCATAATGACAAAGCGAAAACAGGTTTAGACATTTTTGCAAATGTATTAAAATTAAAAAACAGAAATACCTTATTTACATAAGTATTCAGACCCTTTGCTAAGAGACTCGAAATTGAGCTCAGGTGCATCCTGTTTCCATTGATCATCCTTGAGATGTATCTACAACTTGATTGGAGTCCACCTGTGATAAATTCAATTGATTGGACATGACTTGGAATGGGACACACCTGTCTATATAAGGTCCCACAGTTGACAGTGCATGTCAGAGCAGAAACCAAGCCATGAGGTCGAAGGAATTGTCCGTAGAGCTCCGAGACAGGATTGTGTCGAGGCACAGATCTGGGGAAGGGTACCAAATCATTTCTGAAGCATTGAAAGTCCCCAAGAACACACTGGCCTCCATCATTCTTAAATGGAATAAGTTTGGAACCACCAAGACTCTTCCTAGAGCTGGCTGCCCGGCCAAACTGAGCAATCAGGGGAGAAGGGCCTTAGTCAGGGAGGTGACCAAGAACCCGATGGTCACTCTGACAGAGCTCCAAAGTTCCTCTGTGGAGATGGGAGAACCTTCCAGAAGGACAACCATCTCTGCAGCACTCCACCAATTAGGCCTGGTAGACTGGCCAGATGGATGCCACTCCTCAGTAAAAGGCACATTGTGCCCACTTGAAGTTTGCCATAAGGCACCTAAAAGACCCTCAGACCATGAGAAACAAGATTCTCTGGTCTGATGAAACCAAGATTGAACTCTTTGACCTGAATGCCAAGCGTCACGTCTAGAGGAAACCTGGCACCACCCCTACGGTGAAGCATGGTGGTGGCAGCATCATGCTGTGGGGATGTTTTTCAGTGGAGGGACTGAGAGACTAGTCAGGATAGAGGGAAAGATGAATGGAGCAAAGTACAGAGAGATCCTTGATGAAAACCTGCTCCAGAGCGCTCAGGACCTCAGACTGGGCGAAGGTTCACCTTCCAACAGGACATTGACCCTAAGCACACAGCCAAGACAACGTGGGAGTGGCTTCGGGACAAGTCTCTGAATGTCCTTGAGTGACCCAGCCAGAGCCCGGTCTTGAATCCAATCGCACATCTCTGGAGAGACCTGAAAATAGCTGTGCAGCGACGCTCCCCATCCAACCTGAAGAGCTTGAGTGGATCTGCAGAGAAGAATGGGAGAAACTCCCCAAATACAGGTGTGCCAAGCATGTAGCATCATACTCAAGAAGAGTTGAGGCTGTAATCGTTGCCATATTTCCGTTTTTTATACATTTGCAAAAATGTCAAAAACAAAACTATTTTTGCTTTGTCATTATGGGGTTTTGTGTGTAGATTGATGAGGGGAAAAATCAATGTAATCAATTTTAGAATAAGGCTGTAACGTAACAAAATGTGGAAAAAGTCAAGGGGTCTGAATACTTTCCGAATGGACTGTATGTTGTTTACCCAAAATAAATTCAATTCAAAACGCAAAGACAATTGTGATTCACACATAGATGAGCCCTAAAACAGCTCATCACACCAAGTATGGGTAACTGCATATTTGTAGTGTTTCTGTGTGGATCAACAGCGATGGGTGTAACTTCAGTGGGTGGATCAATGGCGATGGTGTAACATTAATGCTCCATTATCGGTTAGACCAGCTTATTGTTTACATAGCAGGTGAAGAGAACCAACGTAGCAGGTTAGGAGAATTAACATAGCAGGTTAGGATAATTAATGTGTCAGGTTGGGAGAATGAGTTTAAGGTTAGGAAAAGGGTTAGGTTTAGCTAAAATGCGTAGCAAGTTAGGATAATTAACGTGGCAGGTTAGGAAAAGGTTTAAGGTTAGGCTTAGCTAAAATGCTACAGCTGTCAACAATCGACTCATCGTGCAGCCCAATCAGCCACGCAAAATGGTCTTGAGTGGCAACAAATCTGCCCAATTAGATGATTCGCATTCCATACAACCACTTCTGTTGACACGACCACTTTCAGACACACTCCATGTATGCAGTTACACATGACTCCATCAGTCAGCTAATGTCGCACCTTTAGACACTCCACTTCCTGTCTCAGTTTCTGTAGCTCCTCCTCCCTCTCCTGGATTATCTGCTGGCATGTCTTCAACAGCACACTCGCCTTTTTCTGTGGACAAACATACAGACAGTGGTAATTGACATCACACAATGGATCAAAACATATGCCTTTGTGATAGATATGTCAGGTTTAAATATGTCTGTCTGTTCTAGTTGATGGGTAAAGCCTGTATTGACTTCACTGACTACACATATGGACTTTGGATCAGAAACAATAAAATAATTTGATAGTCTGCCACATATCTATGTACCTCTTATACTAAGCCTATAATGGTATCCCATCCATACCTTTTTGGTAGCCCCCCGAGCAGCAGCTGAGTCTTCAGCTTTCAGTTTATCATAATGAGGACACGTATTCTCCTGTAGTGGTATAGATGTGCTGATCAGCTTCTGATTCTTCATGGCTAATGACTTATAGTGAGGACGCAAAACAGGTTCTGTGTCTCCAGGTCCAGTGTGTTTCTCAGCATCATTGTCAGCTTGCAGCCCGGTCTTCTCAATCTTTTCCACCAACTCCGCAAGCTGGGGTGTTTCTTTCTAGAGAGAGAAAGACACACACACACAACAGAAACATTACATCACTCATCTCAAACATTACATCATTTTGGCAATGCAATAATCTGTAATATTATATAATTAATAGAACTGTAATTCCTACAATTGATGCATATAAACTACACACTATGGCTTTAATAGCGTAGAGCAAGAAAATGAAACTACTAAGAGGTTAGATTTGGGTGTTTAAGAATAACTGGTCATACCTTTCGGAGGTCCAGCACATCCTGCAGCATGCTTGTGATTCTGGGGGAGGTTGTCCTATTCTTCACAATCTTCACAATCTGGTTGTAGTACTGATCCATTCTGGGCTGTGGAAGTATAGACAGGCCAAGTGAATGCTTTTGACTGATTTATAGATCTGAATCCCCCCCAAAAAATTATTTTATTGGATTGATCAATCCCAAAATATGGGATTAAAATGCCATTGATGCAATGCCATTGATTTTGCTGTCATGGATTTTAAAAACGAAATACAATGTTTCTATTTTGTTCAAGAACAGACAGACAGAGACAGACGGATGGGCGGACAGACACACAGACAAAATGCTGTACCCTGGCCTTCTTAAAGTCCAAGTCCTTGCCGATGGTGTAGAGTAATGTGCACAGGCCCTCCAGCGAGTTATCATCTTGGTTCTTCAGCAGCTGTACGATGACGTCGTGCATGACGCACTCCGTCAGCATCTTCAACTTGAACAACTCACACATGAACTTGATATTGCCTAGCGACTGCCTCCGCCCCTCGGTCTTGGCCTCCTCCAGCTCCTTCCTCAGTCGCTGGCGCTCCTCCTCCTGGAAGAATCAGGAAAGTTAATAAGTAAAACTATACAAATTGTTACTAGTTAGATAACAAACCGTATTCCAATGATCAATTGAAGGGAATACCACCACAATATATTACCAATTCACAGTTAGGGCAACATAATCAATCGCACATCAAAATCATACAGAGGAATTAATATAATTTAGATCAGATTAGACTATCTCAAAAAGATGTCTCAAAGTGTTGGTCTATAATGTAGTGGGCAGTGTATCTGAAGGGATGGATGTGCTACCTTGGTGATGGCATCCACCATCTCCTGCTTTTGCTGCAAGATTTCACGACTGTTTCTCGCCATGTTCTCAAAGTCATTTTGGACTCGGTTCAGAAGCAGCTTGCGGAAATTTACTGTCACTGCTGGTTTGGCAGCGGTGGGTACTTTAAGCTGAGGAGGATATGCAGAAGGGAGCAAAAACTCTGGTTAAAAGCACAATATGTACGATTTCATCCTGTTCTCGGTGTGTGGTCACTGGCATTTGACAAAAAATAGCAATCACCTCTGTGAGAGACAGACAAAATACACACAGATGGAGAATTGTACAGATGCAGACCTACCCCCATGAGGCAGCGGCACATGTTGGCATAGACCACAGAGCTGGCAGGTTGTGCCAGGGCCCTCTCATATATGAGGTGAATGATGCTCTTCAGTCTGGCCTCTGTGTTAATGGTGAACTCAGTAATTGCCTTCATCGATTGCTGGAAGTTGTTTTGATTTACCCTATCCAGGATGTAATCCATTTGGGCATACAGTTCCTGTGTCTTCCCTGGCTCTGGATCCTGAAACTCCTTCTTCAAGTTATAAATTGGGGGACAGGTGAGGCAGTGACATAGACAAAGGGAGGTCAGAGAAACAATTAGGGGGCTGTAGTGGAACAGGTTGAGAGCTTCAAGTTCCTTGGTGTCCACATCACCAACAAACTATCATGGTCCAAACACACCAAGACAGTTGTGAAGAGGGCACGACAAAGCCTATTCTACAGCTGCACCATCGAGAGCATCCTGACTGGTTGCATCACCGCCTGGTATGTCAACTGCTTGGCCTCCGACCGCAAGGCACTACAGAGGGTTGTGCGTACGGCCCAGTACATCACTGGGGCCAAGCTTCCTGCCATCCAGGACCTCTATACCAGGCGGTGTCAGAGGAAGGCCCTCAAAATTGTCAAAAACTCCAGCCACCCTAGTCATAGACTGTTCTCTCTGCTACCGCACGGCAAGCGGTACCGGAGTGCCAAGTCTAGGTCCAAAAGACTTCTCAACAGCTTCTACCCCCAAGCCATAAGACTCCTGAACAGCTAATCATGGCTACCCAGACTATTTGCACTGCCCCCCCACCCCACCCCATCTTTTTACGCTGCTGCTACTCTTAATTATTTATGCATAGTCACTTTAACTCTACCCACATGTACATATTACTTCAACTACCTCAACTAGCCGGTGCCCCCGCACATTGACTCTGCACCGGTACCCCACTGTATATATAGCCTCCCTACTGTTATTTTACTTCTGCTCATTTTTTCTCAACACTTTTTTGTTGTTGTTTTATTTTACTTTTTTATTTAAAATAAATGCACTGTTGGTTAAGGGCTGTAAGTAAGCATTTCACTGTAATATCTGCACCTGTTGTATTCGGCGCATATGGCCAATAAAATGTGACTTGATTTGATATTATCTCACCAACAATTTAATCAGGAGGGTATTACTGAACACACGTACCTACTGTGTACATACACACTCTGGACTTACCAAGTCCTGTTTTTCCACAGCCTGTCCGCTGGAAGAGGGAGCTGGTGACTGGGTTTCTTGCTTGCGTGTCTTCTTTGTCCCACTCATCTTCTTCTGTGGACAAACATGTAGTGGTATTGAGGCAATAATACTGTGGTATTACAACATTATTCTCTGTGTGATATACACTCTTCCTGAATGTTGTATTGTGATACACATTTCTATCTATTTGCCTTCTCTGGTAGATGGGAGGGGCCTGTGTAATTCACTGAACTCACATGACATGCAAAGTACAATGTCCAAGTTGGCTAATTTCATACTATGCCACATTCCTATCTACATTTAATGATACTCCATGTAGTTTAGTCACTGCAGACAGGAAAAAGTTAAGATCCATATCTTTTTCTTGCTAACCAGGGGCTGATTTCTCAGCATATGTTTGCCGAGTATTTCCTCAGTATGTTTCCTCAGTATATGACTTGGAGTATATGACTATGTTTCCAGATCCAGTGTCATCAGCTTGCAGTCCAGTCTTCTCTATTTTTTCCACCACTTCATCAACCTTGGTGTTTGTGTCAGCGTCTGGGCGCAGGACACAGAACTGAGAGATAAATGGCTTTACTAGAATCCAAGTAAACCATAGTAAACCCTCCACGCAGGGACGAGCAAATCAACAGCCAACGTAACAAAGAACAATCACGCACACACCCAGGAGGGAAAACAGAGGTAATATAGGGAAACTAATAAGCCTAATGAGTAACAGGTGTGAACAATAAAGACAGAACTAGTGAGACACAGAAACATCGATCGGTGGCAGCTAGTACTCACTCCGGTGACGACGACCGCCGAAGCCTGCCCGAACGAGGAGGAGGGGCAGCCTCGGCCGTATCCGTGACAGTTTGTGTCTAATGCAGGTCTTGGGGTGTAGGTCTCTCTGCACTGGAAGCAGATGTGGTAAGGATTATTTTGGTCATCCGGATCCCAGTTACCAATACATAATTTGCACTAACTCTGTCCACAGGGAATTCTCACCGGATTCAGTAAACCCACACAGATTAGACAACTTAATTTTTTCTGATTCAAAAGATCTATAGTTTGAGCCACAGTAGTTGAGTCACTACATGTTACTAACGTGCGATACATCCGGTGCATTCTTAATACAACTACTTACTGTACAGCTACAACGCAGTTGTTGGTTTCGTCTCTTGTACTGCTACACCAGGTCAGCCAAATATTTGTATAACTAACCCAAGACAAACCACAGCCAGTCGTTTCTAATGGGAGCAAATGACTCCTAGTGGGTAGAACAAACAAGGAGGTGGGCAGAGCAAACCACGAGCTAGCGAGAGCCTATTGGCGCGTTCTAGCATATATTTGCATTATTCCGTTAGGAAACGACTCTGAAGTGAGTGTGTGCAATTACACTCCTTCTAAACAACACCATTTTTTTGAAATGTTGGCAAAGGGTAAAAGTCTAAAAAAAAACTTTGTCCACTCTGTTCGTAACATATTTTTGTTTTGGAAACAGACAACTGTATTGTTTCTTCTCCCACTGCCGGTCACTGGACTTCCTCTCACCACCATATTTGGTAGTGAGTGGAAACGCCAACGGGAGGCTTCACATTTATACATTCGGTGAAGTATCTGTCTCATTGATCTATCTGTGGCTCAGCTGTTGGTTTCGTTTCTTCAGAAAGAACTGTGTGAGAAAGAGAGGGAGTGGTTTATTAGGTAATAGCCACGTTCAGTAGCCAAACAGTGTCGAACGTTGCAGATAGAAATGCCATGAAAAGAGCCAACACAATTCATGAAAACGAGCGTGTACACGTTGAAATTCGAACGCACAGGAGTGAACGAGAGAAAACAGTCCGGCTGTAAACTTCAACGGCGTCATAGCGGTCAAATTAGAACAGATCTATTTTTCTCGCATCTACGCTGAGCAATGCTGGTAAACTAAGCAGATAAATTGCGTAGGTAGTTTATAGAAAAGGAATTAGAGAAATTGTTATGATCTTCACTGTGCTAAGTAGATTAAAGATGTCATTTAAAATGTATTGGGCTGTTCGCTAAGGTTTATCAGTCAAATAGGCTACATATTTGAAAACAATTGCAGCCTACCTGTGTTGATTTTGATCATAGGCATTAGCCTATGCAGGCTACATTTGGGGAACTCCGAATTCAAGAGAGAATACCGTTATGTAGCTAGACGAACGAGACTAGCTAAATTATTTATAAACTGCTGGGGTGTACTAGCTACAACTCTCCTCACATTCATAAACTAACATAACTGTTTAGCGCATGCAGGTACGGTGGCTTTCGTAGGACATATGATGAGTCAAAAGGAACACAATAATTCACAAGGGCTACATAGCGAACATAACAAATACAACTGTTTATTATGGATTGTCACGAGATGGATTGGTAGACAGTTTTAGTATGAACACCATTTAACTCCACCAACATAGGATTTAATATGCTTTATTTTCAAATCATGGATCGGACCCTGTTTCCCCACAGTAGACTGTATGATTTTCTGGTCTGTGTAGACATAATAGAGCCTCCCTTCAGGTAGGTTACCCTCCCCCTTACTCCCTCAGGTAAGTGTGGGGCATGTGTAAGTGACACTGCAACAATATGGTGATGGGCACTACAAATCTCACACCACTGCACACAGAATTATTCTGATTTGGCACTGCAACAGTAGTTATAATAAGGAAAGGCACTTCAATCTCACTCGAGTGCTGCACACAATATGGGACCCAACCTTGGCTCTGCTCTGCCACTCCCTCTAAAGGACTCTACTGTTATGGGACAAAATAGGGAGGGGGAAAGACAGACAAGACAACATATAGAGAGGGTGGGATAGGTTCTCACTTTCTAGGCACCAACGAGAACCATATCCCCCAAAACATTTAATAATAAATGTCAGTCGGGTGATATCCAGATCCGCACAGCGCCCTCTCCTAGAACGCACCCGGTCTGAGACATTCTCTGCTCAACTCCCCCCAGCCAAACACAAAAGGACTTCAGCCATAGGGACTTGTGACTTGAATCAGACTTGAGCACAGGGGACTTGGGACTCGACCTTGAGGTTTATTGACTCGACTACAAAACTCTCTTGTATATCCTGTGTATGCATTTGTATCTGTCATGCCTGCTGCCCTAATGCAAGAAACACTAACTTCCTAGTAGGTGGAGTTTCATTTTGCTCTGAATGACATTTCAGCACTTCAGTGGTGCTTTTACTGTCAATAATCCCGTTGAACCAATAGTGGTGGTTTATCCAGCTAGGCCCTCCCCTAGTACAGTTTTTTTGTTGTTGCCTTTATTTAACTAGGCAAGTCAGTTAAGAACAAATTCTTATTTACAATGACGGCCTACCAAAAGGCAAAAGGCCTCCTACGGGGACGGGGGCTGGGATTAAAAATAAATAATAATATAGGACAAAACACACATCACGACAAGACAGACACCACAACACTACATAAAGAGAGACCTAAGACGCAACATTGCATGGCAGCAACACATGACAACACAGCATGGTAGCAACACAACATGACAACAACATGGTAGCAACACAACATGGCAGCAGTACAACATGGTAGCAGCAGAAAACATGGTACAAACATTATTGGGCACAGACAACAGCACAAAGGGCAAGAAGGTAGAGACAACAATACATCACGCGAAGCAGCCACAACTGTCAGTAAGAGTGTCCATGATTGAGTCTTTGAATGAAGAGATGGAGATAAAACTGTCCAGTTTGAGTGTTTTTTGCAGCTCGTTCCAGTCGCTAGCTGCAGCGAACTGAAAAGAGGAGTGACCCAGCGATGTGTGTGCTTTGGGGACCTTTAACAGAATGTGACTGGCAGAACGGGTGTTGTATGTGGAGGATGAGGGCTGCAGTAGTTATCTCAGATAGGGGGGAGTGATGCCTAAGAGGGTTTTATAAATAAGCATCAACCAGGGGGTCTTGCGACGGGTATACAGAGATGACCAGTTTACAGAGGAGTATAGAGTGCAGTGATGTGTCCTATAAGGAGCATTGGTGGCAAATCTGATGGCCGAATGGTAAAGAACATCTAGCCGCTCGAGAGCACCCTTACCTGCCGATCTATAAATTACGTCTCCGTAATCTAGCATGGGTAGGATTATCATCTGAATCAGGGTTGGTTTGGCAGCTGGGGTGAAAGAGGAGCGATTACAATAGAAGAAACCAAGTCTAGATTTAACCTTAGCCTGCAGCTTTGATATGTGCGGAGAGGACAGTGTACCGTCTAGCCATACTCCCAAGTACTTGTATGAGGTGACTACCTCAAGCTCTAAACCCTCAGAGGTAGTAATCACACAGGTGGGGAGAGGGGCATTCTTCTTACCAAACCACATTACCTTTGTTTTGGAGGTGTTCAGAACAAGGTTAAGGGCAGAAAGCTTGTTAGACACTAAGAAAGCTTTGTTGTAGAGCGTTTAACACAAAATCCGGGGAGGGGCCAGCTGAGTATGAGACTGTATCATCTGCATATAAATGGATGAGAGAGCTTCCTACTGCCGGAGCTATGTTGTTGATGTAAATTCAGAAGAGACTTGGGGTACTCCCTTGGTGACAGGCAGTGGCTGAGACAGCAGATGTTCTGACTTTATACACTGCACTCTTTGAGAGAGGTAGTTAGCAAACCAGGCTAAAGACCCCTCAGAGACACCAATACTCCTTGGCCGGCCCACAAGAATGGAATGATCTACCGTATCAAAAGCTTTGGCCAAGTCAATAAAAATAGCAGCACAACATTGCTTAGAATCAAGGGCAATGGTGACATCATATAGAATGTAGTGACACATCCATAACCTGAGTGGAAACCAGATTGCATACCAGAGATGATAATACTATAGACATCAAGAAAGCCAGTCAGTTGATTATTGACAAGGTTTTCCAACACCTTTGATAAACAGGGCAAAATAGAAATTGGCCCTGTGTAGTTCAGTTGGTAGAGCATGGCGTTTGCAACGCCAGGATTGTGGGTTCGAATCCCACGGGGGGCCAGTATGAAAAATGTATGCCCTCACTAACTGTAAGTTGCTCTGGATAAGAGCGTCTGCTAAATGACTAAAATGTAAAT